TTCCTTATTTTCCAAAGTCCTTCAGGGTTGCAGCTGCTGGCATCGCTTGTCACATGCGCAGCTGTCTGCACGAGTACGGGGAGGTCTGATTTAAGATTTGTGTGCCCCCAAATTGCTCCACCAAATTGCTTAATGGGTCGCGTCAAAATAGCAGACCCAAGATGGTGGCTTCTCCTTTTGCTTTCCCGTAAAACAAATCAAAAAGGTTATCCTTAAAACCACACGCCCAAATCGGTTCTAACCAACTGGTTCCTTTCGGATCGTTGTCTTTTGGTCCAATCTAGAATCCGTTTGTTAGAACACCTTGAACAAGACCCCTGGACAAAGATGCGTTCCCTGAGTTTTGCTAGCTGGCCTTGCTTCATATTCTGCTGAGCAGGGAGAAGCGCTGTGTCTTGCCGGAAGCTCAATGGGGCCTAGAATGACCTACCCTTTTCCAGTGGGTGGCACCCCCTTCGGGTTGGGTGGGGAAGTGAACAGGAAAGCCACAATTTGAATTGGGAGTCCCCTATTCGGAAACAGACCCAACGCAAAAGCTTGCTCATTCAGGAGTCCCTCCTGTGCTCCCATGTTTGTCTTGAAAAAGGGAAATGGCTTTGTGCTTGAGCCATTTCGCAGAACTGCAGCTTCTTACCCAAGCACACTGGTCAACCCACCCTGTCATTCCCGTGGACAAGGGGCAGCATGCCACGGCCGGTGGATTGGAGCATCAGTACACAATATTACGCTCCCAATCAAGATAAGCCTGCTCCCCCTTAACAACTGTATTGTGAGCCTGGGTAGCCACAATCAATTCACCCAGCCAACAAGAACGCCTCTGACTCAGGAGTCACGGTCCGGTTGTAGTTTAAATAGTGTTCCTCAAACGATCCATGGCGAGAATCACACGAAGTCTTCGAAACCGACAGGGGGGGGGGGAAAATCAATGTGAACAACACGCGAGGGAGCTCTGCCTTTTGTTGTTCAACTATTCCGTCCTGCCGCAAGGTGTGACACAGGATCTGGAAGGCCATGGCATCAAACCTGGAAGGATTGGGAAGCGAGCCCCTCTCCGTATGAGTTACGATATCTCGTCGTGACACAATAGAAGAGCCCGATACAAAGACATGGCGAAACCGGGAGTAAACTTGCCTTGTCGGCGCCACATCGAGTGTGACATGGGCATGGTTCTCCCAACTGAGTAGGTTATGAGCCAGTGAAGAGACAGAGAGAGAGAGAGGGGGAGAGAACAGGGGCAGGAATAGACACAGACACAATGACCAAGACTGGATGAAAAAGGGCATAAATAAAGAAGGACAAACAAATACGAAATTAAGAAAGAATAAAACAACGGACATAAAAAGGACGTAAAAAAACAAACAGACAGACAGAGGGACAGACAGAGAGACAGAAAGACAGAGAGCAGGATATGTGCATACAACTTCAAACATGTGCGCAAGCATCGCCGTGCTTCAACCAGCAAGCATCAGAGCACAATTGCTCGTCAATACAAAGGTGACATGAACAAGGTCTAACACTGTGAGAATGTGCTGTTATTTTTTGTGCTGAGTGTAATACAATCAAACAAGCACATGCATTGCAAGGTGTCTTTTACAAAATACAAACGGTTTCTTCACGTCACGACTCCGACTCGAAGCCGTCTGGGTAAACAATGATCGTTCAATACCAGTCACAAAACTCAGATATGGCTGAGTCAGTCATGCCAGCTTTGTCGGCACCCCTGAAAAAAACAAAAACTAAAAACATCGTCGTTGTTCTTCGGCTTTCGCGGCGTGGTTGCACCCTTGGGCATTGCTTGAGCCATGTTCACGTCTTTGGAATAACCATGTTTCGAGCTCGAGTTGTTGCAGCTCATTTACCTGACCAAGCAACCAAGCAAGCAAGCCAGCCAGCCAGCCAATCACGATTGAAACGGCTTGCAGAGTTGCAATCCCATTGGGTGGTACCCACTTGAAGGTGCTTCAAAGATCCGATCGTCACAAGGGTAGACATGTGATTACCATGGCAAGAAAAAAGGACGACACCAAACAATGGTAATTGCAAACATCCCCGGGGCCTGTTTCAAACTAGTCTCACTGGTTCTATTCGCCAAATATCTAGCTGGATCAATGTTCTACCAAAACTTGGATTGGTCATTGTCGTGAGAGACGAAGCACCCCTGAGATGCGAGTTAAAAGGTGGGTGACTTGCTTCTGCATCTCCCTTTTGTCACGGCGATGTTCTGCATCAAGATTCTGCCATTGCATCTGCATCAAATATAATGAAGAGATCAAACACAACTCGAGGCGCCAAGGGTGACTTGCCATGAAAAATGTGCGATGCGCAAGATTGGGAACTTGCCATGAAAATAAACGGCGCACTAGCTTCCATGAGTTATGTCCTTGACCCCTTGGAACATGTTCCGATGCATAAACATCCTCCTTTCAGCTTCCCTTAGGCGAGGCGGACCATCATCCAGTTGTCCCGATTCTGATCACCCGGGGTGGTTCTTTGGTTGCTGGGGAACAGCTGAAATGGAAACCAATGGGCTCATGAGCTCCAGGTACACAATTTTGATTGCAAGTTTGATTGACCTGACTGGAAACTGTTCGCAAACCTGTAGCGCAGAAGCTACCCGCCCTCCAACACAGAAGTGTGACTGCCAGCTTGAAAAGAAACTGTCCTCGTGGAACGACTGGGTACCAGGCCATGGTTGTTTGCAGAAGAGTACACAGAGCTTCTGAAACCGTTCAACTGTGCCGAACAAGCTCAAACTCGCTGTCCGCTTTCAGTATCATCTTGTGCCCCAAAGGAAACTTGCCAATCAAATTGCTTGGCCACCTAGAGGCGATGTTAACAAGTCTTCCGCAGGGAAATATACATGAGGGCTCCAGGATGTGACTCAGATCTGAAACGCCCGCTCTGGGGCCAACGGCTCTGAATCGAAGTTCCAACTCTTCATCTCTTCGCCTTCCTCCTGACACAGGTTTTGACTGCTTGGCATTGGGGGTCCAACCCCCCAGTGGTGCGAGGGACGCACAAAACACAGCCTTATGATGTTGTGATGTCGCAAGAAAGTGGTCAGATCTAGCACGCAGCAGATGTTTGAACATTATGGAAACCATATCGCAGCTTACATGCCTCTGCCCCCGCGGTGCACTTCTGAAATGAGTGGGCCGTTCGGCCAAGGACACGTCATATTCTACGGGTTTGCGCAATATCCCTGCGGCCCAGCTTGCCCATCTTCACAAGGCAACCGTCGCTTCCCGAGATAATGATGAAATTCCCCTTTGATAGAACCGTCATACTCAAGTGGCTTCGCGTCGAAGTTGAGCAACACTGCAGACTAACCCGGATTTAAAACGAATCCAGGTTGTCCAATGAAGTCCGAATTTCGCTCGCTTCAACATGAGGCCATCGCCTCCTCACTTCTATCGTGGGAGACCACCTATTTAATAAGTTCTTTGGACGACTCTCCATTTTGACTCTAACACTTTTGGGTAGAACATTTGAAGGCCAAAAGCCGAAAATCCAGTGAATGGATTGTAGCCTGACGTCCAAGGTCACGCAAGGTGAAACAAACAGAAACCAACACCATATGATTATTGGAGAGTGCTCCCCATTGACATCCATAGTCATGTTTGAACTGGCTCACGGGAACATAGGGACCCCTGTTCTGTGCTTAGCGGGGTCTTCGTGTCCTGGCAATCGCTTCAAGTCCGGCCAAACAATCGCAACCCTTGAATCGAATATGTGGCCTCTTTATCATAGGTGTCCTTTTGGGGCAAATAGATGGCCCTGGTAGATGAGTAAACCGCCAGGTAAACCAGGGCCATCCACGGTTGACCCAAAAAGGACACCTATGCAGCAACACTTCTAGAAAATGGAACCCTTTCAGGGTTAACAATGCATTCTGGGGAACCTACCAAACAAAAAGGAAAAGAGGGTGCCTCCGAACAAGTTTGCATTACAGTTCTTGACTCAGGCGAGGGTGATATATCAACGTTGCGGTGTGGGCTCCACCACAGTGTCACACTTGGACGTTTTGAACTCGAGCAAACGGAAATCAATCACATTGGGGCCAACGTGAAAATTACGAATTCGAGGAGCTCCCATATTCAAGATACCGTAGCCAGAAGCTCTTTTAAGAGTTGCCGCAACCTCTTACAGTAGGCAAGCTCTAAGTGGAGGATATTTGTCTTCTCAGCCACAAGGCTACCGAGGATTCACGCATTCTCACTCTTAGCAAGAGGTGTGGTGTGTCTTACGTTGCTTTAGACCCGCTGAGTTGACCTGCAAACAGGCAAACACTTCAAGCTACGTGACTGATTGCCAACATCAATGAAATGGGCAACCTGTTCTCAACAAGTTTTGCACATTCATGCACATTCACCGATTCACAGTGTGCTCAGTGATCACTGTTTCACAAGATACACCAACGTTACAGCTCAAGTATTAGCACTCTTCTGCATCTTCGCTTCAAACAATCTTAAGCTTCTTGGTGACCTTGTGCTGTTCTTCGGGTTCCCAAACAAGTGTCACATACCCGACCTGTAACACGCAAAATCAGTTTGTTTGTTTGTGATGGCCGGCATTCGAAATGTTCAAACCCATACTTGCGAAACATACATACATACTTCTATTGATATGTATAGTACATATTTACACATGTACTATATTATACCCAGTGGACAACCAGCATTTGTTTGCTTTTAGCTCTTGAAGGGCAACACTCCTTGGTTTCCTTCGGGGAAACGGAATCACTGCGGTATCTCCTGTCTGAGGCCCGTGCCACCTTCTGGATGATTTCTTGGACTCTGGCGATCTTGGGGGTGTCGAACTCCTCGTGGGGTAAAGGGTCAGCCGTCACGAAGCTGTTGGTTTCGGCGTACTTTATATATACCTTCTCCCCAACTAACATAGCACCTCACAGAGGGTCGCTTCATGGCCGCTTCAAGAGGAAATTGATCTTCCAGGTACCCTGACGCAGGTGCTGTGTTAGTGGGAGGGAGGATACCCGCTGTTTCAGCTTGGATTGAAGAGAAATCAAAGGGCGCAACAACACATCTTGGGGTCCGCACTACTTTGACATATGCCATGGAGTCAATGGTGCCAGGCCATTCTCATGTCTCATCAAACACTTTGGGGCGGTTGCCAGGAAACGGCACCAGGCATTGCACAAGCGAGGCACAAGACTGCCGTGGACATCGCACAGGCTAAGCCCTTGCAAACCCTGACCCCAATGATGAGGGAGTCAAACAAACGTTGTTTTTTTTGTCAGGGCCCTGACGTCTCCAAAAAGAGGCCCCCTAATTTGACACATTGCCGTTTCGACTTGTGTATTCGTTCGCTTGTTCGATTAAATCTGCTATTTGGCTAATTGCGTCCAGTCGTGCAGTGTGGGCGGGTCTTTTCGGGTTTGCTTACCTGGTGTGTGCACCCTGAGCCTTGATAAGCTTTTTCCCTAGACAGGCAATTACAGAATGCTCTGCGAGGCCAAATCGGTTTCTTGCACATGGAGATTTGACCAGCAAGCTCTAGCGTAATTATGGGGGCAGGAAACAACCCAAGGCTTGCCGAAGAGCGAAAGCCGAAGCTTCGCAGTGGGCTACAAGACATGAAGAACGTTAAACCATGCCAAGACGTCAATTTGCTGAGAAACATGGATCTAAAGATTCAGACGAGTGCGAGCAAGTCACTCAGGACTTCCTACTAAGAATTGGCTCCTTCTGGCTTTTCGCGTACCTCTTGAGGAACTCTTCAAAGGCATCGCTCTCGCCCTGCCACATCAACCAACCGCAAGAGCAATGAAAAATGCTCACAGTCACGCAAACACTTCCTCCTAATAAATGCATCCTAGAAATAGATATGAAGGGCTGTACAGGAGATGACATGGGGAACACTTACCAAGAATCGATTGGTAATTAGGATTACTCACCAAACATCCATGTCAGTTGGGGACACATGGAACTCGAAAACATGGAACGCAAGTAGGACCCTGAAACGGTTCAATCGGCTGCATTCACTTCGGTGCTGCCAAGGGAACCCACAGCCGAGTTTGTTGGCTTTTCAGAGCAATCAGCTGTGTCTTGGGGCCGAAACACGCCTTTCCAAGGGGTGGATCATGTCGACACCCGCACTTGGGGATTTGGGTTCCTGCGGTGATTTGGAATGGGCCAATGTCACAAATGATCCTGAAGGTCAAGTGCTGACCTCGAGTCTCCCTTAGCTGCCCGCACCCCTTTGAGGATGGGGCAAGGCCACTTAGTATGAGAGGCCACATAACCAACAAATTGCTCTGTTGATCATGGCTTTACTTCACTTTCACGCACCCCACAGCCCCATTTTTATGATTTAGCAATCTTGGACACCCAATACGCTTGAGTCCGACAGGCCCGTGGCAACCTCCTTCACAGGGCTCGGACGTGAAAATGCGCTTGGGGAAAGTTTGACTGGACAAGGTTGGTGACAATCAAGCAATCCAACAGTTTGCTTGCTTGATTGTTCGTTTGTTTGCTTGCTTGATTGTCTGTTACTGGCTGTTTCAAAATGCTCTTGTAGGCGACTCGGGGACGCTCAGAAATCACTGCTTCAAACCCTCATGATTGGCAGAATTCCGGTTTCAATAGCCTTTCTACCTCAACCGGGGAGGGGGTGGGGGGTCCCAGTTTCATTTTTGTAGTCTTAGCCGCGGAAGGGAACCAGAAATGGAGATTTCTATGGGTCACCCCCGCCCCCCCCTCCCCGCCGCCCCAATTCCAATTTCAAACGGGGTGATTCAATAGATAGCTCTCAGCCAAAACAATCACAAGCATTACTATCCTGTGATCATGGAGATATTTGATTTTGTAGTACCCCACATCCCCATTCAAATTATTTAGCCTCTAGTAGTTGAGCCACGTCTGTTGCATTTCTCCCCTCATGCCTCCGCCTTTTGAGGCTTCTTCTTTGGCGCCATCGCGCGGATCGAGAGGGGAGCGGTTCCTTATCGATCTGACTGAGGATCTCGAGTTTCTCATGACCATCTCGGTGCTATGCATCTTCAGAAATCGAGCTTGGCTAAGTCGCTGAGCATTCTAGAAGTCTTCTTGTTTTGCATATGTTTCCCCTGGCAAACTCCAACGTACTGGCAAGGGCTGTAGACCCTGGAAATAGCATCACCGATGGAGCACTTTCAGCTAGAGCCGCCTTGCGACAATTTTCGTCAACGCTTGGTCAACTTTCCAACAGTCCGAGCAATCGCGTCCCAGTTGCAAGCAGTGGCGGTGACCCCCTTTGAGAAGAATGCCGCTGAAACCCTGGAACATAGAATCAGAGAATCCCCATTGACGAGTATCTGGAGTGCGCTTTGCAACGGCGCCCGCTACACTAGACACATGAACACGGCACATGCGCAGTCTAAACATTTACCAGGGCGGCGAAGGGGAAAGGTCGCCCGGTGCAACGGGTACCGTAGCAACTCAGAGACCCCAGGCATCTTCCGATTCAACACCATATTTTGTTAAAAGGTTTGAGGCCCCTCCAAAATAGGAAGCAAGCGGAATGTATACATCTATACATTCTACCTATGGTGTTTCTCGATCAGTTTTGAGAGTCACACCCATTTTCACGTATGCCGCACTATCACCAGCAGCGGCGAATACAAGAGCGTGGCGAAGCTCAGGATGCAGCCTGCCATCTGTCTATCCCTCTGTAACATGTTTCTTTGCTTATTGTTTAATATATATATATATAATTAACAAAAACACAACAACTCGGCTGATGGGGATGATGCTCAGATTTTGCTTCTGGCTTCCTTTGATAGGGCGAGGGACCATGTTCGAGGAACATGGTATAGTGCCTTAGGGTTCAAGTGAGCGTCCTTCAGAACCATTCGGATTAAGTTTGAATATGTGTCACATTTTACTGACACATTCATATCAAACAGAGTGCAGTGTAGTGTTTGGGTCGCTGAAGGGGCTTGGCTCCCCAACCAGTTCGGAAAATTGTAGCGATCTTAGAAAGGGTTTGGCGAACCCAGGACGTGTTCTTCCACATTTCCGGCCGGTGATCATGATCGGTTTGCAAGCTTTTCGTAACTGCCAGTGCCTTGCTTAGGTGCTAAACAGCCAATGTTTGATTTCTACAGGAACTCATTCCCCATGCGGAAAGGAAGCCACAGGCGTGAACAGGACATGACGTGTGATTTCTCCTAGGGCCCAAAAGGAAGCCACAAGGGGATGGATGCGTTGGTTCAAAGAAGTCTTATTTTTCAACTGTCTTCATAAACGAAAAGCAACCCCCAAAAGTGGACATCATTCAAAGAGTCAAACAAACAAACACCAAACAACTTTGGCGAGGCTGTTCAAAATGGATTGGCTCCTGTCAAGCGGCACAAGCTCTCTCCCTCTCTGTCTCTCTTTCCAAATTGCCCACAAAGTTGGCTGTTCTGCGAGTACAATGAAACAAACAAATCCCAGGCACGCTCAGTTGGCTGGTGCATGAGCCTGTCACGGAAAATGCGCCGCGGTAGCCCAGGGAATCCGTCAGCACGCCGCCCATCACAGCACTGCCAGCGAACCTGTGCCGAAAAAAATAATAATAAACAACTCATCGCATGACCTTTTTTCCATTGAACAATGAAGCGACAGAACATGTTCAATGGCTCTCCTTTTGATTCCACTTTCAAAGCCATCCAAAAGGAGCGCTTCCTCGGACACACTCATAGGCACCCTGGTATTGGTTTGGCTCCCCTAAGCCGTCCTGAAAGAGTCCCGTTTTGATGCACGGTCACATGCATAAGCCTGTTCCCCCAAGACCTCTGTTGTCCAAAACATAGGAACCGAGAAGGTCCAAACAACCTACTTATTGTCGCCGCCTTTTCAGCCCCAGAAACCACTGGACTTTCTGGACCCAGACTTGTGTGGTCAACGAGTCCACAAAGACCGTGTCCGTGGTCGGAATACGATAGACCAATCAGAAAAGCCTGCCTCCCGCTCTTAGATAAGCTATGCACTAAAACAGTCGTGGCTGTATGCTTGTTTCATCTGCGTGGAGTTAATCAAAATCATTCATAATGATTGACTTCAAACTGCTTGAATCAGAGGATTTTAAGAAACACACGAACACATACACACACACACACACACAGCAACATCAACTTCAAGATTCTAGTTCCTGCAGCTCATCCAGTTGGCTTTGTCTGCACAGACTTGCAGCTGGTCAACGGGATCATGATGGAGAGGCATATATATATATACATTATGGCTCATGTTTTGTTTCTTTTGGCCTGCAACCCAAGTTGCTGTTGGGTTCAGTGGACTACGTACCTGCAATGGCTACGGCTACAAAGGATCATGAGTGGAAAGGAGTGGTCATGAATAGCACAATTCGGTTTTAGGAAATCTTTCAACAATGCAGAATCCTGAAATACAGTACCCCCAAGTAAGAGACCTTCGTCACAGGCGAGCTCCTTTTACCCCTCGATGTGCTCGCTGAGATCTGCCTTTTCCAGAACTTCAATTAAAATCCCAACAGGCTTTGCCCTGTAACCCCTTTTTGCGAAAGAAGCAGACCTCTCAAAGTGTAGGAAGTCTTTTCGAAACCTTGATTTCTTTCACAAAAGGTGAGAACAAAAAAGAGGTGTTCCCTGTACTTTCCATTGAAACATCAGCCCAAAGGAAACTCACTCAATAACGCCAACAACATAGTGAAGACAACCTAAAAGCGGCAATGCCGTCAATGTGGTGACTGTTGTGAAACCAGACCTCCTTTGGCATTGAAAAAGAGAACAGTTTCTTGCTACAAGTACTTGGCTTCAAAGGGACACCTCCGCCAAAGACGACAACGCCCAGGCAGCAGCAACCCTGCCCGAACCCTAGCCCAGACCACCACTCCCAAACCTGTGGGAGACCCTGATGCTTTCAGCTGGAGAAAAAGGCGCTACTGGACCCAGCCTGTTTGCTTCCTAAGATCATCATGTAATAAAGGGCAAAATACGACAGTACAAAAGGTAGAATACGACAGTACACTTACCCAAGGAAGTCAGTGCGTTCTCGAAACCAATGTCAAAGCTGCATGGGATGCTGCGCATTCAGAACCGCAAAGCCAGCGCAGCAATTTCCAAGTGCCATGGTAATGCTTGGTCTTAAGCGTGTAAGCAACTGGCCGCAACATCGCACCGACTTTTTTTTAATGAACAACCATCCAGCCCGGACCTATAGCGAGGTTTCTGACACCGCGCCGGCTTCCGAAACGCGGGGCGTGCCAAAGCGCCCGCATATCGAGGGATGGTTCACCCGAGGCGCGAGGCGCGGTTCAGGCTGCCCAGGGCGGCCCAGCGGCCCCGCAGCCGCGGCAAGGCGTACTCCATGCTCAGGGCCTCAAGCAAAGAAACGCGTCGGGCCCGATCTTCGCCATCTGCGGGCACGCAGAACATCTGCCCTAAAATACTTGTTTACTGGGGAAAAATAAATAAAAGTGCTTGAAGTAAGAACCGAGTTATTTTGGCAGCTGTACTATTACTGTTCAGAGGTCCACCAGTTTGACTCTTGACTTTGATTCCTTTACCGGATAAAGCAAAACACGCAAACGTGCTTGAAGTTAAAACAACATGTTGAGCATGTTTACGTTTTACTCGTCATGGGTGCAATCTGCGTACTGTTTTTCTGACTTGACAGGGGAAAAGTAAACATCTCAACCTGCCAGAAGCGAGACATGTTGACTGCTGAAAGGTGTGTCTTGCCTTTTCGCTTTACGAGGAGCGAAACCTTGGCTTAACACAACAAATCCACATTAGAACAAGCAATGCTAAACCAGCACTTCACTAATATGTTTCTGATGCTATCACTAGTTTGAAGCAAGCGGGGTACTGGTTAAGAACTCCTGCTAAAGTATTACTCACCTGATACTAGACTAGCTATAACAAGATAAATCGATACAAGACCGACTCGAAACTAGAAGCAGCAATTCCCAACCAAATGCAGCCCCTAGATTCAGATGTGATACCTGCTCAATACTAACCCTCGCTTAATACCCCAATACCGTGCTCATTCAGGCCTGGAGTTCAGGCTGCACGGTGCAAGAAAAACCAATACTGTTACTAGACCCAAGTGATATTTGATCAACACTATTACTCAATGAATTATAGAGGACTACTACGCCACTAGTGACTCATAGAGGCCTGTACTGGAGTTCAGGCTGCATGGTAAAAGAAAAGCAGCTTTGCACACATGTTTGGCTGTGTGTTGCCTTGGTCACTTGCCAAGACCTAAATTGAAAAGCTGCAGATCCAGCACACTTGGACAGCTGTCCCATGCGCGAAACCAAAAAAGGAATAATCCAGATAAAAACAAATCAATTTCTTGTCTGGAATGGCATGCAGCTTCAGAAATCAACATGAAAACTCGTGAGCACCTGGATGGGGGGGGCGATAGCGTTAATTATATATATATATTATGTATGCATACATGTCTATTGCAGCTTTTGTTCCCACGAATGCCCTCCCCACCTTGTGCACACACCCGCACACAGCCACCTTTAGACACACACGGGGAATTGCCCCGCTATATCCTACATAAGAAATGCAAGAAATAGTATGTCCGAAGACTCTTCGACTGGGTCTTGACATTCCTCGCTTGTAGCTTTCCTGTCGGTCTCCAAAAGGGTCAATATATCCCAAAGTTGATGCGCAAAGGAGGTTGCCCTTCTTCCCACTTTGCAAGGCTCTGTATTCCGCATGTGTCTTACAGTTGGGTGACAACTCCCTCATGTCATACTCATCCTATCCTCATGAAGCACGGATAAACTCACTTGATTCAAATTCCCAGGAGGGTATGGGAAAATCAGGTGCCCTATGTCCCTAAATGGACCACAGGCTACGGACAATATTGCTCGAACCTCGCAAAGGACAAAATGAACTGTGCCATCTTGACCAATCCCAGTGGCCATGTTCAGGCCCGTGTGTGCATTGATGAGCATCGTCCGCAGCTCGAAAACCCTCAGGAAGCGTAACCAGCCCCTGGGGTGCGAGAAATGTTTTCCGGGCCTGGACAATTGTCAAGCTTTCAATTCAAGTTATCTCATCACAAGGGAAGACCGTTTGTATGTTTGTATTTGTGTAGACGCTCATGTTACCTTTTGGTTTTCATTGGTTTTGCCCGCCCATCCGCCAACAGAAGTTGTGCGCCCTGCTATTTGCCCCATGAGCAGGGAAGAAGTCATCCCTTGCTGGGTAGAGTCACAACCACAATGATATTCTTGGCTTGGTTTGCAGGCGGCAGTTGTGCGCACAAGGTGGTTTACACACCACCCAATCAACCCAAGGTATCAGAACTCAAGACTAAAGGCATCTAAAGGCCGGCAGCCAACACGTAGGGTGCACAACTTGGGGGGCAAGGTCACCTCATACTGCTTTCCCCAGGTCCTTCATGGCAGTCATCTTGCTGGTTCTCAGATCGGAATCAGGGCTTACCAGCTGAGACTGCAGCCAGGCAACATCTGACTACCATGGTATCTAGTCTCGGCCAGACATACACACCGTGCAGCAAGTCAAATGTTTTGTGGCTAAACGGAAAAGGGAACCCACAAATGGGAAATGGGCAAACAGGTTAGGTGTGGCAGCGCAATGTAGGCGCTTGCTTTCACCACCTACGTAACGCTTGTCAGCGGGGCACTGTCGAGTGACGCCGATCTCCGGCATTTGCATGGAATTGCATCATTGGAAATCCTCTCCATTTGTCAGTTGTCCAGAGCTAATTTGTGGGTTGAGGTCACTGCTCCTCCAGACCGCGAAAACAACAAGATTTCGCCCTCGTCCTCAGCTGTGAATGATTGTCATGAGTCAAAAGCATGGACCCTTTCTGGACCCTGGTGCCGCCTTGTGATTGCTGCCTCTTCAACTGGATACCAAAAGGGTCCCTAACTGCTCCAGCAGCGCATGACATCCGTTGCTTGCCAAACCGTACTAAACCGAATTGACAGTGTTATTTTATCCTGTGACCCGAAACTCCGGCTTTGACCCCCCGCAATCCACCTTTCGGCCATGAAGAACTGCCATGATGGCATGCCGAGCAGCAGAAGATTCCACCCAAGTGGCTGGATCAGAACGAATAAGAACCTCAGCAAGGCGTAAGGACCATTGCTTAGCCACCACCCGTAAAATTCGGGCACCAATCGCTGGCACTTGATGGAACTGTATCTGCCGACTTCAATTGCAATGACTCCCAGGGTAAACAAGCGATTAACGCGGCTTGACTGTACCCCGCCAACAAAACAAACAACACATTGTATACATCCTCCTACAAACCCGGAAGTGCACAGGCTCCCCTTCTGAAAGGAAAACTGACTTCCAAAAAGGGGTTTACGCACTTCCAGGTCCAAAGGGTACATATGCACACGTTGGCTACAACTTACGAGCTGGACATCAAGCAAGGAACCTTCATAATGGGGGTCATCTCCGTCCGAGACTTACGAAACATTGATCACTACCTTGATGACTAGCAGACTCTCGACTTGGGCCGCAGTTGGGTGCGACACTTTCCTGGCTTTTCTCAAGGGGTCGAGCCGATAACGAAAGAGGCGGCGTCAGACTCAGCTTGTCCAGGGTTCCCTACAGTTCCCCAAAGCAATCAACCCCCGAATGGCAACCCCAAGGTGATGCTTAAGCTGGCTGAGAGGAAAGTTTGAGGGCACACATTCTTTTTGGAATGCTATCTAGTTAAGCCCAAAGAAAACCCCAATTATCTTTTTCGCCTCCCTTTGGGTTTCCAGTCACTTGAACCGACCCCGAAAAAACACCGCCGCCCGAGTTCTGCGGGGCGCAGCATGGTGATGCCGGAGACCGTGAAGCCCATCACCGCCCGGGTGCGGCGGCAGCTCCTGGCCGCGCGCGCTGCCAGCGAGCTGCCCAGCGCCGACATCAGCCAGTAGCCTGGGGACCCGGGACCCGGGGCCCAAGCAAACCAACAAAAGGGGCTTCTCACAAGCAAAACAGATTGTTTGACTCCCCCCCTCAACATTGGACAAACAACTCTTAAGGTTTCTGGGTGAACATGTTTTGCATTGGGAGTGGACCAGTTGCAATGAGTGTATTTCCTTGTTTGGCGGTATTGAACATCACTTTTTTGGCCCATACATGGCAAGGTTCCCTCGGTAGCCTTGGGAGCGCGGAGATTGATAGAAAGTTGGAAATTCTTCAAGAAGTGCCCATCAACCGAGAACCAGGGCTTCCTTTAAAGTGTCCTGTGGCTGATTCCTTAGACACAATCCTGGGGATGCTGTTGGATGAAAATGTAAAAGATCCAAACAGCAGTTGGAATGTGTCTAGTCTCACTCACGTTTTGGACATCAGTGCTGATGTCTTCTTATAGCTCAGCTGAGAGCACTAGAGATGCTAGCCCACGTGAGTCGGCCCCACTGGGATTCTATTTTCCGAGAGGTGGCCCACATACTCCCTGACACGGTTGCTTGAAGTGACGTTGGAGGAATAAATCATGTGAGGCTTCCTCCCTGTCAGAATTTGCATTTGAATGCATCTCGAGCGACAGGCGCTTCCCGAACTTAGTCCATGCTTGGCCGCCTATGCAACGAGCACTTGCACTCTTTTGGCTCTGCTACTACTACACACACACAGCGCAGCCAGTTCAACAATGACCTGTGCCGGAGACAAATTGAACTATGGACCAGCACGTTTGACGGTATACAGGTGGCAGCACAGTGCCAGGACTTGCTGGAATTATATAACCCTTCACAAGCACGCAGGATAAGCCATAGGTGTCATGCAGTGGGCGATCTAGAGACAAAACTTTCGCGCACACACACACACACAACCGACGTCGCCCTTGGTGAGATGAGCAGCCACCCATGATCCAGCAAATCTGCATGTCAGAGAGGCCGTACTCGAGGTGATAGAAGAGAGGGAAAAACTTCCTGAGTAGCACACGCACTGAGATGGAGAGAAAGAGTTCGCAACTACACATGGTCATGGCTTGCAAGCTAGAACTTGAACACAATCCCCCTAGGTTTGAGGGGGGCCAATTAAACTTAGGCCCCAGGGACACTTATTCAGCAACTCAGAGTACTTTTGATGTCGTGGCTACTTCTATGACTAGCTGATCACTTATATTTCTCCTCCTCAACAAATCCCTTGCCAACGCAGCTCCTATACTTAGCAAACTCTTCAGCGCAACACGCAGCGTTCAACACAAATGAGTTGCGGCGTGCATCCCAAGAGGTCCCCTGACAGGCACTCTGGGGGCCACTGCCTGCAGCCCATCAAACCCCGGGCTTGGCGTCAGGGTCTTTCACCCCCGAAAACGCAAAGGCTTGCGGGTGATGATATGGCTGTGGGTCAAAAATAGGTACCCCAAATGGAAGCCTGGTAAGTGGAAACATGGACCAAACCTGTGGTCCCCTGGTGGTTTTAATCTTGACCCATACCCATATACCGGCCGCAGCAGGCGCATCTGCTGCCATACTCAACATGTATGATTACAACTACTGGCAACAACCATCCACTCGCCAGAGGGCGCACAAGGCAAAGCATTGCCTCCCAGATCATGGCCAACAAAAAAGACGTCAAAAAGGCAGTCGGCCCACTTGTTTGGCTGGCGTTGAGCTATCATATTCTTGGTTCCTGGCGATCCCCCTTTTCTTGTGTGGGACAAGACAAGCGGAGGCGGTTTACGAATCCCGCCGAGCATCAGAGACATGCCGCCTCCGATGGCAACGCAGCTTGTGAAAGTCAGGACCAGTCCTGCCGGCCGGACCCCAGTGAAGAGGGAGGTCCGAACTGCCTGGGGTTCCTCGGCCGACGTTTAACCCAGAAAATTCCTGACTGCGACTTGTAGCCTAGCTTGTCTACTTCCCCGGAGCTGATCTGCCTTCGGCTCAAACCATTTAAGAAGAACTTCCCGCTCGTGTACCAACTAGGTGGTCTCCATCAATGCATGAGCAGCCCTCCAGAGTTGGAACATCCCAATTGACCGTCACTCTCCCGCTCCTGGCACCAAGATGTGCTTTGGAATGCCCAGGACCTTGTCATGCAAATCACCTTGGCTTCCAGGTGCAAATCCAGTGACCCACGGAGCCGTGCTGCCCATTTGGATCTGGAGCTTTGCTCTCTGGGCAGTGGCTTGCATGACAAAACGGACATCGCTCGAGTGTTCCTTTTCTAGACAAAGCAAATGCAAAGCAACGCTCACATGGGGGGGAGGGCGATGGCCTATGCCTTCCGTCCTTTGTCCCCCGCTTTGAGAAGTCCCTAGAACTTCAAGAAACAAACGGCGCAAAAAGCAAAGTCGGGAACTGGGAAGCGTTCGGATTCCGGCACCCAACATCGATGTACGGCTCTAAAAATCTGACATAGCGGTTGACTGGCATTGGGTTGTTTCCTGAAATCTCATCCCCGCGGATTAACGACAATAACTTTCACCACCTCCATCGCGGTCTGTCAACTCTGTCCACAACATGTTCAGAATTTGTGATTCTGCTTCATAGTTGGACCCTAGAACACAGAAGCGGAGACCCCAGGCTTGGCACTTAGCGCTCCAAGCCGCCTTCGTTGTTGGCCTGCAAGGCCTGTGAAGCTGTGTCTTCTACCCCCGGGGAGCTGAGCGGCATCAGAATGAGCACAAACGCTACCTGCGCGGCCGGGTTCAGTGAAAATGGGTGCCTTCTTGTTTGAGGGCGCGCTTTTTTAGGTCGGACAAGGCAGACCCACGCGAATCAAACGGCGTTTGAGCGGATGGGCTACGCCAGCCTGCGGCTGCGTGTTTACAGGGTCTATGTAACAACTACGTGGGCGCCTGCATGGACTGCACAAGCACATTACTAAATTTGTATCCTAAGCGGAGCATGTGATCGGAAGAAACAAGCTGCCCACCAAGGAGCCTAAAGGAAACCTGCTCAATTTGCTGGTTGCACAAGTCTGCCTCTGGAGTGCCCCTTCACGCGGCGCCATTGCTAGCAAACCGCAATAATTACCTACACCTTAAACAGCACAACTACACCTGGGGGATCCACGTGCAGGAACCATGTGGCAAGTAGGCATCAGTGTCCTTCCCACGTGTTCCTGAACGATGAAACCTCACACGCCGCCCGCCATGCAAATGTCGTCCGTGCTCAAGTAGCTATAGCACGACAGTCGTTTTGTTAATCACGTGGCCTTGCCCAAAAACCGGCCACTACCGGTTTCCGGCGTAATTGCTATATTCCGGCATGCGAAATGACAGGTTGTTTTGGGCATTACGGGGTATACGCCTTCGTGACTGGACAATAATGGTCATACACGCCCCAATACGCAAATTTACCCACAATAAGCTCGGTTTCGGCATACCCAGGTATGCACATTCTGACGCTTGTTACATGTTGAGACAAGGCACCCATAAACATGTATCTACTCGCTGCGCTGCCGCAAACCGTCATAAGTTTTGCCTTTTGCCTTGTGCACCTCCGCCTTTTCGAGGAACACATAGAAGCTCACAAGAGCTCGAGGGGGCTCCGTCTCTCTGCGACAGGGATCAAAAGGCAAACCAGCCTCACGCTCCTACAGACTGACATGGAATTCAGAAGCGAGTCCCCCAAAGAGAGACAACATGCCCTCAAACGTGATGCGTTTGCTGCTGGCTCCATCCACTGCCGGACAACGCACAATTAATGTGGATGAGCAAAGTCCTGCACACAAATGGGTGCAAGTAAGGATTCCCTATTGGGACAAACCACCTATCAACTGGTCAGTGGAGTTCGTCCATCAGTATCTCTCCCTGTTCCGAGGCGCGAGGCCGAAAAACCCGGAGACCAGCAGCCGGTCCACTGCCAGGCCCGGCAAGCTCAGCAGCAGCGCCTCTCGCTCGCAGGCAGCCCACTGAAACCGGACCGAGTCGTGTGAGGTACTTTTTGCAGGGTTTGGCAGGGAAGACTTGAAGAGAAGAAGGGGTCCATCTTGAGACTCACCCACGGTGTTCCGGGAACCTTATGATGGCCCCTTTCTGGACCCTCTTAGAGGGGATACCAAAGAAGGGCCTGAATTTGGACATAGAACTGCTCAGGGGCAAAACCAGCAACAAATTGCTTTCACGTCTAAATTTGGGACCCAGAACATGCAACATGTATGAAATCTCGCTCCCCTGCGATTTCATAAAGATAGGGGCTGGATGCTGGATATGTCTGTCAAGCGGTAGCGTCTAACCAGCATGGGGGCTCTCATTTTATGCAGACGCGCGCAGAACTCGTGGGGATTCCTTGACATTACTGCCTTGGGTTCGGGATACAAAAACTTGGGCCCTCCGGGCCGGCAGGGCTCTGATCGGACAATGGCTGGCGAATCCCCCGAAGTTAAGCCTCAAGAGGGAGGGGTGGGGCCCTTTAGATTTCATGCTTGCCGCACCTGTCGGAATCTCATTGAACCTTTACACTAGTTCACCCTGGTTCGTGGGGTAGCTGTAATTGGCCTGGAGCCGGACATTTTGGCAAGGCTGCTCCTATTAGCCCCATACTATCCCCGTAAATGATTCCTTCAACCACAAATGGATTCCCCCTGGAAGAACGAGTCGCTGGAACTAGAGCGATCTACCCCAAACTATGAAAATACTCCATCCGGCGGCCACAGCTAGTTGTGGTTGAGATTGTCCCTTGCTACCTTCACTCGTCCAGGCTTTGATCGCGTCGCGGGCGGCACTCCCATCTCCGCTCCTGCAGGAAAGGCCCCAGGGCCCTGGAAGAAGTCCTTAGTCACGGCGTTGAACGACGACGGTCGTGCTAACCCAGGATAACACGCACGCCTGCATTCGAATGGATGCATCTGAATTTCAAAGGACCCCCGAAATGTTGGGTTTCCTGCTGGTGTTCTCTTAGAGCATTACCAAAAAGGGGTTACTTCAACCCCATTCGCCCAAATACCATGTTGCTGAGTCCAACATTTTAGGACCCAAGATAAAAGTTCCCTATAAAAGAAAGCTTTCTCATGGGTCAGTTTGCACATCCCTTCGTGCAGTCACCAAGCATCGCACAAACCAATGAAAGGTTGGAAGCCAGGATTCACAATCTTGCTAAGAACAACCCACACTTTGTGCACGTGCAAGCCATGCCATGCTCCACATTCCACTGCTGGCCAAGAGATGTTGCTTGCCATACTAACATCGCGAAAACATGTGACGGGGCCTCTATATGCCACCTTTAACATCCTTTAACAAACGTCTCCCCATGCCAAAAGGAGACTCACACCAAAAGATGATGTTAAAAACACCAAAATGGCAAAATTAATAGAGAACCCTCTATGTAACAGGCAAATCAACGTGAGGCCGAGCGTGCGGGAGGCTGCGGCGCAACCCTGGGATCGGGGACCTTGGGCTGGGAGACATATTGGATGGTGAGAAAACAAACCAAAGGGTGCAGAACATAAAGGCCCGTTGACATATATTCAGTCCAGGCCGTCAGTACAGCAGCTTGGACTAGCGCAGACCATCTACCCATCCAGGAATAATCTATGCAACAAAGGACCCTTGGAATAGGCAGGGCTGGCTAACCCGTTAAAGGCATTTTGGGCGACCAGCATGCAGGTTCTAGTTGGGCATGCACTGAAGCCCTGTGATACTGAAGCATTCGCATTGTTTAGACACATTGTGAGATGTGTCTTCTGTCTAGACCCCCCAATTTTGAAACACCCCGTGCAGCAAAACAGGCAGCTCGCATGCACACACATACACACACGTGTTCTCTCGTTCAATCTGCGGTGGCATGAAAACAGCGACTCCCACAGATCAGCCGGAAACACAAGGATGGACTTAGGGGATTGTATCTGCCAATGCGATCTGCGTTCACATTTTGAAGCCTGAACCTTACGATTAACATCTGTTCCACCTGCGTTCATTAAAGTCAAGGTTGAAGATCGAAGATGGCACCAAGCGTCTCAGTTCACCCAATAAGATTCAAAAGTTGGGGGTATCTCAGAGCAGAACCCAAACAAAGATGGCTCCCTAAAAACTAAACCTAGAAAAAGGTACCAAAAGCAGGGTGCCAGTCGCCAGTCTTTGATGCAGGGCGCTGCAGGGTGCGCTGCCAAGCGTAGGCTTGGGTGCGCTTGTCCTTTGGCAGGGCGTCTGCCAAGAGCACGTCCAGAGCGCCGCTGGCGGCCTCCACTTGAGGCGCAAGGTTGGGGTCAATGTTTTTCTTGGGGAATGTCAATGGGGAATACTGGAAAGATCCGCAATGCCCTTCCAACATGGCCGACAGCATTTCCAAGGTTCACCAATCAAAGATTCTTTGATGCCCATGCTGCGGATGGACAAAATCCTGCAGTTTGTAGGCGGATGAGCCCGTTCAACGGGCTTCACCTGGTTCGCCTATTTTGCAACCACTGTCTTTTGGCGAATTTCAGGGTGTGAGTTTTCCAAGTAGACCAAATATTGCAAAACATGTTGGGTCAGCGCAATGCGGAGGGGGGGGGGGGGGTAGCTGGTATTTTTATTGTTCATGTCAAGTCTCTCAGGCTCTTCAGTTCACGGCTTCAGCCAGTCCAAGCTTGTGTACATGTTAGCAGGCGGCACAGTGCCTTCATGCGCTCGCCCAAAATTTGTGAATGCAGAGATCAGGTTTTCGACGCCTGGCCTCTGAGATCAAAAGTGAAACGCCATGGGGCGCGCATGTTCATGAGCCAGGCGTGAGTCCCGCGCCCCGTCTTGTTCTGCGGAAGCCCTCTTTACGGTGATTGCCTCCGTTTGGTCAGGGCCGCCGGCTTGTGCTCAGAGGCAGCTTTCAAAGTTCTCAGCCCTGCTTCCCACTCCAAATCCGCCCCTCCTACTAGCCTGAATCCTCTCATGATACCGAAAGTCTCGGTACGTGGCTTCTTCGCGCAGAAGACGATCGTCGGTGCTCAGGAGGGTCAACAGGTCAAAACTGAGTGGCCAACGATAAGGCTGCAACGAGATCTGCTGCACGAAATCCGCTGCGGGGTCGCCTGTGGTGGCCCACAATTGAATTAGCCAGTTGTCTTGCAGGACAAATGACACGCAGGTTTGCAAGCCAAGCGACTTAGCAATATGAAGCAGATGGACAGCGAAAGCCCAACTGGAAAGGGCAGGCGTGATGCCAGTGGAACCAAGCTGGGGGCCATACCGCAGATCACGAACTACTCTTGTCAGAGGTCAAGTCTTTCCGCATGACGGAGCCTGTGAGAAATATGGCATTGCAAAGCTCCGGTGTCATGACGTCTTCTGCAAGTGTATACACGGAGACAGATCAAGCACAGAATCCGCCTCGTCAGAGATGACATTCTAGGTCCGTAGGTTGCTTTTTGAAGCTCTGCGCGCAAGGAGGAGGTGCCCGAAGTCAAACCCCTTCAACGTGAAGAACTTGCCTCTTGCTTCTTGCCACCCAGCAGCGGCAAAAGCTCTGTGCATCCGCAACCTGTTCATCTACCTATTGGGGGAACCAGCCCCAACCAACAACCAAGCAGACAAACCTCAAGAGGGCCCAATGCTTGGAACCACCAAAAGGGGAAAGAGGACCCCCAAAAAAGGAACCTTCATCGTCAACTCCCGTAAGCCGATCTAGTTTCCGATGTCAAATGCTGACAGTCATTGCGCAACACTGCCGCCGGGGCAATCTCGCCATGGAATGAGGTCACCATGCTGTCAAATCTACGGGGCAGTTGAAAGTTCGCTGGTCAGCGGCTTACCAAAGCCATGTGGAAGCTTTTTGGCATGGGATTGGGCGCCTCTCCCCTGTGAGCTGAGAGAGGGCAACGCGGCGATGTCCTCACCTGACAGTGACTATGCTGTGCTGCGAAACCCCACATTTGCTGATCAAACCTTTGGCAGTGGCAAGCGTACTGTGGGTGAACTTCGTGCGCACCTGTGGTCCGCTGTGGGGCGGCGTCAACTCCTGTGGAAGCACAAGCTGCTCAAGCCCAAGTCCAGGAGGCCAACAATGGTGGCCCTAAGTCCCTCTTGGGTATTGGGTAGGGTCTCCAACGCACGCGTGAAGAGCATGTATGACAAGAAGTTCGCACAATCTACTTCTCGGGCGATCCTGGACATTGTCATGGCTTGTGTCAGCAAAGTCTCGGTCCACATCCAGGAGCTAAGAATGCCCCCTTTGATAATGTTCATCGCTTTGCCTTCTGGGTATCCTTCTTCTTCTAACTGCTCGATACTGCCAGGCAAGCTTATAGCTTGCCAGCTTCGCTCAGTCTTTCACTGATCAAAAGCATAGCCCTCACGGCCACAGCCACCCGCGCTACTACGATCCCGCTGACAAAAAGAACAACTGTGCCGCCGCGCAATGGGTAGGTGGCCAAGGAACCCGGGTTTCAATACAATCCAAGGTTGGATTGGATGTCGCGGTCAATCCAGACCTAAACCTGGGAGCCGAGAGCCAGCAAAAGTAACTAGGTGAGGATATCGGCTCTATATGCAATGCATGCCTGCAGGTGCACTGCGTAGAGCCCCAAGCCAAAAATGGCCCACTCCAAATGCTCGGAGAGGATGCTAATTGCAAGCACCTCAGCTCCAAGGTTGAGCAACACTCGCTCAATCCAGCAGGCACCGGTTGCCTTGAAAGGGAAACAAAAGGGAGCAATGATTGGCTTTACATACAAACAAGACATTGAACCGCCCAACCCTGCTCAGCTCAACTGGTTTGTACTCTTCACGGAGGCCTGCGTCACTTGGAATGGCAGGCATTCCGTGCGACAGCAGGAAAGATGTGTCAAGCCTGAGTGATGTTGGGGCTGCCAGTTTGTGCCCATGTACGCCAAATAATTAGTGAGTCTGCTCGAGGAAGTGGGCTGAAAAGTGAGCTTTGGGCAAGCTGAATACTTGGCTGCCAACCACTGGGTAGCAACAATTGGTGAGTCACAGTGGACGCATCCGCTGAGCCCTGCTGCCATTCCCTAATGAGAAATCCGCAGCACGGCCTGAGAGGAGGGGGTGTGGAACGTGGATCAGTTTGATGGAATCGTCGCGCATTTTGGTTTGCCACGTGATCATACGCATTGCACGCCAAAGTTTGGCCAAGGACAACCATCTCCATTTGTTTGTATTCATCCTACATCCTGCATGCACAGCTAGATGAGGTGACGAGGACACCATCCTGACTGCCTTCAACAATCAAGCGTTCAAGAGCAACCCGTCCAAACTTCAAACTGTCAAACAAGGACACGCAGCAGGGTCGCAAACCAATGCTTTACGTGAAACAAACAAATCCCGTTTTCACCAACAAATGCACGCCGAAAGCCTGCGGGGAAGGGCACCTCCATAAGATAGGCGTCCCCTGGTTGCTTTGAGCGGAAGCCAACAAAAACCCATCCATCAATGAATCCATCACAACAAAACATTATTTGGCACACACACACACATTAATTGAATTAGGATACAGTATAGTTGTGTAGATTTAGTGCGTAAATCACATTTCGGCTCCAAAATATGTGTTGTCAAAACCAGTTGCTTAAGCCTTACACGAGTTGCCTGATCTGTCTCCGACCGGGGCACAAAAGCACCGAGAAGCCCAAAGCTGCAGGAGACAGCTCGCAGCACCCGAAGCCGGTCGAAGCGGTCCGACAAATAGCCTGCTCAACAGGGTTCACTACGTGCGCAACTGGGGCCCTGGAAGAACGCAGGTGCGTCCCTGTGTGGTTTCCTCGTGGGGAAGTGACATGAACACACATATCCGTTGTCCATGTCCCTTTCTAAAGTCGCAGTTTGGATAACTTCGACATTTTTGTGGGTTTGCACTCAAGAAAGCTCGACCGGTCCAAAGGACAGCTCGCCGGGACTCAATACGTCGTTATCTGTATTTGGGCGTTTGGTGTTAGAGGGTTATACGCAAGTCGGAGGAACACCTGCATTTCCTCGTTTTTAGCGACACTCTATTTTGACACATACCCGTTCTTTCTGCATCTGGGTACATGTCAGAACAGGGGTGACCCAAAATGGCGATGTTCTTGTTGTGTTCCTTGTCATTAAAGCAAAGGGCACGCTCAAAAAACACGTAAATGGCAAACATTTCTGCCTTTGTCCCTGCGCAAACTTGCTTGGCGCCTAGAGGTACCGCCGCCACCACGCAGGTCAGGCCACGCGTGGACTCCAAAATGCCGATCAGCTCCTGTGGAAATCGGACCAATGTTTGCACCCACTTATTCTATGCGGTTGTAACTGGGAAACTGACTTGCGCAACCGGGATTAGTTTGCTTGTAACCATGGTTGTAACCTACCTGCTGGGAAGATTGAACATCCAAATGCCGTTCGTTTTGTCAGGGTTTGGTTTCAAGGGGTACCGCAGGGAAACCCACTTGCCTACTGGGGAAACATGGGCAGCCTTAGGCATGTTGCAGGCAACATCTCTTACGAAAAGAGTCCGTCTGCTATTCCAGGCCTCAAGAAGAGCAAATCAAAACTCGCTGGGGGCCCCCGCATTGGGATGGGTGTAGCCCTGCTTCCGCGCGAGGTCGCTCATGTACACGTCGAACAAGGCTCCCGTGGCGATGGCGTCTGTGCACCATAGCAAAGTGGTCAAGACATAGACCCACCAGGCCGTCAGCACAACGCCTGCACGCCCGAATTGACAAACATGGGGCGTTAGCCAACCGGCCAAGGGCTGGCTGCTACTAACCTCGGAACATGGGATGAACTGCGCTCAGTATTTCTCATAGGCACGGACTCCAGACTACACAGCGGATGATGGCCGCGCTAATGCGTTAACTAAGTGCTATCAACAAGTCGGCATAACGCGGACACTGAGAACAATTGCAGTCAGCGGGCACACATCCTGCCCCCCTACCATGCGGCACGATGCGTCGAGAACCAGGCATTCACATTTGTGCTTCCGTTTGGGCAATATTGGGCCAATGGCAGAGAACAGTTTACATGCCAACACGACTTGTGGAATGCGGATTGCGAACAAAAAGCAGTGCCATTGAGCTGGACATCCCAACAGGTATAAGCGGGGAGTGAGTCAATTAAATGCCCAAGCAAGAGCAGTTACTGTATATATATATATATTAATGTATGTATAATGCCACATATACATGGATGACGTTTGAAAACGCGGAAGGGAGGAAAGCTCAGGCTCTTGCTTGACAAGACAAGAAGGAGGTGACTACGATAGATAGCGCTAAGTTGCCACTCCAGCCTAGAGCTCCAAAGGCTTTGCACGCTTGACAGTCTCTGAAACAACCACCAGAAGATGTTCGATCTGTGCGCAGCAAACCGCCGACATTGCGGAAGCGTGTCGGATACTTAAGAGGGGCGTTTTGGGGGGGGTCCCCCACGTACCAGGGAGCCGGCAGGAGTCCCAGGCTCGAATCCCCCTGCCGACTCTTTGCTGGTTTGGGTTTCCCGCCTCCTTTTGCCGAAAATCTGGAAAAACCCTGTGTTTCTGGACATCCTTTTTGCGAACACGCTGGAAAAACCTTTTTTTTGCGGGAAAATACTGGGGAGCAAAGGGACGATGCAAGGAAGTGCAAGGACATGAGGGCAGGAAATAGGAAGTCGACATGACAGGAAAGCACGGGGAAATGAAAGGGAAACAAAGGGGAACTGAAAGGGACATGAAAGGGACAGAAATGAAAGCAAGGGGAGTGCAGGGAGAATGAAAGGGAAACAAAGGACAAGGAAACCAATCGACACGACGGGAGATGTAGGGAAATTACTGGCAACGAAAGAACAGGACATACATGGAAAATGAAGCGGACATACCAAGAAAATGACAGGGACATGAAGGGGGAGTTGCAAGGAATGGAAGGGACATGACCAGGACATCATGGGAAACATGAGAAGGACATGAATGGGAAATCAAGGGGGAAGCCAGCAGTAAGCAGACAGTTCAGGGCTATGAAGGGGCAGTGCCCGGACATCGAGGCAACTCAGGAGACGTGACGCTGCAATGCAGAGAGAGAGGGAGAGAGCGGGAGGGGGAGAGAGAGAGAGCAGAAAGACAGAGAGAGAGAGAGAGAGAGACTAGGTCCTCCAGTAGAGAGGTTAGAATAAGGGTACCCTTTTTTCTGTAGAGGGGCGTGGAGAGACAAAGAGAGAGAGAGAGACAGAAAGAGAGAGAGAGAGAGATAGAGAGAGACAGAGAGAGGGAGATTGAGGAGAGACAGGCTTGGGGGGATGGGGAGGATGGGGAGCAAAGGGAGGGAGAGAGGACGACAAAACACACGGGGGAGGAGACAAGAGAGAAAAAAATAAGGAGAAAAGGGAGAGGACAATGTTGGCGGACTGAGCCGGAAGCTCAAAAGTTAACATCTTGTTCGTGGTTGGTGTTGCAGCGAACTTCTCTAAGGAACGGAACAAAGATAGGCTAATGTTAGCTTGTCATTTGTGCCACATGCGTGGTGCATGACTCTTGTAGAATAGCAGACATGGTGAGGCTTCTTGGTAATGTAAGAAGGGCTCCTAAATTCAACGGCAAGTGTTTTGCTACGTGGGACATAAACATGACTTGCCAAGTCCGCACTTGCACCGACAAACTTATCGAGGGCATCAGGCGCCTGATGCCATGGTGCTGGCGACGTGGCTTGCCGCCACATCGGCAGAAACTGCTTTTGTGTGTTTCAATCAACCTGAAGCACACAATAGTCAACGAAATGTGGCAATAGCGCCTCCAAGCAAAACTGATGGCACGTGCTTTGCTTTCTTAACTGTGCAAAAAGGTAAGCAGAACAGAAGGCGGGCATTGTCGTGCGTGAATAGTGGTTCTTGTCAACTTGCATCAGGACACGAGCAGCTTAGCAAACCCGGCTCTTCTAGCAGCTCATATATAGTCAACAGTATTTCCTTGAAGGTGCGCCAACAAGCCAAAGCGTAGAGCAGGGTTGTACGAACGACATGGCACTCATTGCTCCGTGCTGATGGGCTCTTTCACTATCCCCAGCAAGAAGTTGTCCCTTCAGACGCAGCAAACCATATCTGAATACAAAATAACTCATAGGCTGCTCTGGGGACTTTCAACCCATTCAAAGAAATGAGAGGCCTCGATCAGAACATGGCAGTCGAATGCGCCTTTACCTCTTCTCAGGAAATATGTGAGGAAACTGGTCATGTTTCATCCCCCGGAGCCACAACGGTCCAAACCAAAAGTCTCGGACGCCGATCTGTTTGGAAGTGATCCGAGGCAAGCCAAACCGCCCTACCAAACATCTGCGTGACTCAGGTCACAAACTTCCCCATACTCAAAGCAACATGTCGACGCATGTTTACGCATTGCACATGTGTGCAAAACATGTGTTGGGCAAAGCACAAAACATCATAAACAACTTGGTTACGTGTCTTTCAGGAAAACAATCCGATAAGCCTCCCGATCTCCAAAGCACTGAGCGCCGAGGCCTTCCTCACGCTGCATGATCAAACGCATGCTGGCGAAGATTATGTTTTGTCGCTGACCAAACACAAACATATATTCAAAAGCAACTGAACACATTTGACTATCCTTTTTCTCACCGCTTCACCGATAGTGGGTCATATTCACCACTTTGCTCCGTTGTCTGCTCTCACAGCTTCGCCGCGGCGTTGTCCACTTCGCGGAAGTATGCGAAGAAAGCCTCGAGC